AGGCCTGTTATTGGTTACTCATCCCGGTTAACCAAAGGCATTATGGTGATCTCAAAATATTTTTGGTCTCTCTACAAATTGTCGTTATTACGGTGGCACTTTCTAAGCTGGAATCTCGAGCCAAAGGCACTTTCATGCTGGAGTGCAGAAGATTCACAAGTAGCTAAGTATTTGGTCATGGATTGAAAAAGGCATCAATGAAAAGTGCAATTCACTCTTCATAGTAAACTGCCGAGTTGCAGCCTTTAGTTTTGGTATGGACACGTACGTGAGAGCATGGTCAAAGGATTGACTTGGGTTTCCAATTCAGGTTGTTTGAAACCAAGTCATCAGCTTCCTATAGAGTTAGATCTAAAAACGGGCTTTTGAAACAAAAATGAGAACCATCTTGGCTCATCCTGCTTCGGATACAGGGCCAATTAGCAAGTGGACACCGAGAGCAGGCCTGAGAAAAGGCTGGCGGCTACTAAGTTATTACTAAGGCACTGCTTCACTGGGAGGCTTTGGCAGCTGTGAAGTGAAAACTCCCTTAAAGAAAATGAAAAGTAACAGTAGTAAGAGAAATGCTTCCAGCTTACAAAAGGGCTCACGGTTCCCAGGCAGCCTGTCACACCGACACCCTACGACGTGACGTCTCCAAGATTTAAGGCTTTTCAGAAAAGACACGTGCAGGGCTTAGCCACAGTAACATCAACACAGAAGTCAGTAACTCAAGCATCCTCCTAATGTCACAGTGAGGACACCGACACACAGTTATTCTACCCCTCCTTAGGACAGGTGTGGTACACCAGAGCATATACAAAATTATATAAATTACAGGTACCTGGTTTGTAAAACTGACCATCATGTGACTTCACTCATTTATGGTTGTATAAAAACAGTGGCTGGTGCCACCATGGTATTGAAGCCTAATGAAGCCCGGATCTAAAAGTCCTTTGAGGAATTTCAACACCAAAGGTTCTGTTTTGGCTGGTGTGTGAGCAGAACTTTGCTGCTGGGATGGGTGACAAATAGAAATTTGACTCAAAGCCTGTGGCTGGAGAACTGTCCTCCGAGAACGTGAAGAGGCACATCAGACCTGCCATCTGCTTGTGGTCCCCACACAGCTACAGGGGATCTGAAGTGACCCTGTCCATGCATCCTCAGGGATCACTTAAGGAGAGAGCACCGAGGAAAGATGGCTTCCACCCAGGAGAGGCTGGAAGAAAGAGAAGCCCCTACCCTTGTCTGTGACTAACTAGCCAGGAGACTTTGGACCAGGCACCTGCCATCCCCTCCAGGTGAAAGGGAACGGACTGTGCTCTCTTTTGGGTTGAGTATGAGCCACCTTCTGGAACAGATCCAGGCCTGCTCCATCCCTAAAGCTGAAAGAGAAACAACAGACAGCATGAAGCAGTACGGAGGAAACACACCCTAACATTTAAAGGTGAGGAGAATGGGGAACTGGTGAGAAAGAACCAAATCTGGGGGGATTTTCTTTTTAAGCCCTGGTAGAGTAAGAGCTACAGGCCAAATCTGAAATGCTCTTTAAATGGAAGTCAGATGGCTACAGGGAGGGTGCTGGCTAGACATGAGAGGAAGTACGGCAGTAGGAAAAGAGATGGTGGCTATACAGGAGACACCTCTAAACAGGAAGAAGGATGCTGCGGAAGAATACCACCTACCTGCCTCTTCCTGATCCTCACCCCACCAGATAGTGAAAAAAAAAAAAAAAACTGGTTACCAACAATGCTAATGACAAATAAGGGAAAGGACAGCCATTTTGAACTTTGTACAACCCAGGGTAATAAGCTGTATGAGAGTGGCCAAGAATTCTAAAAGCCTATGACAATGCACAGGGTAAGGACCAATTAACTAGCCAAAAATGTCCCTTGCCTCCAGTTAGCTGGGCTCTGGGGTCCCCAGACATTTAGATCTCTTCCATTGGATACATGTTTTCTAAACTATGCAGTGACTGAGCAAGATGTTAACATAGTCTCTAACGATCTCTCCTAGAGTCACTGTGAGACAACACTAAGAAGGGAAAGGCAAGAGAAGAGAGAAGGCAGGGCTCAACAAGGGCCCCTAAGCTCCAGGGAGCTAGCTGGAAAGAGCACAGAAGGAACGGAGAATGATGAGAGATGGGGAGTAGAGGTGAGGACACAAACCCCACCCCAGGCTTCCAACTGGGAAATAAAGCAAGTGGGACAACTGGGCCATTGATTAAGAGGGGAAACTCCAGAAGCCTACAAATCACATAGCTACCAGCACTGAGACAGAGCAGAAAGACTATGAGAGCAGGAGGTGGGGTGGGGTGTCCAGGAACAAAACAGTGTCTTCTGGACACAAAAGACCATGCACTCACACTCAAAGCAGCTGTGAGAACAAGCTGCTCAAACCCCAGCACTGAGGGTGGAAGGGGCCAAGGAGCTACTGACAGCTGATGGTTTTGGGGGTAGGGGAAACCAGTTTTCTTTTAAGAGTGTGGATCCCAGTAGGCCAACCATGTTTCAACGGATGTCCACACACCCTTGAGTATATGGGCAGTACAAAATTGGCATGGTGGATGTTCTAGCTAGTTTTGTGTCAACTTAACCCAAGCTATACTCATCTGGAAGGAGGGAACCTCAATTGAGAAAATGTCTCCATAATAAATGGCTGTAAAGCCAGGTGGTGGTGGCAGATATCTGTACATTCAAAGTCAGCCGGGTCTACAAAGTTAGTACCAGGACAGCCAGAGCTATTACACAGAGAAATCCTGTCCCAAAAGAGAGAGGGACAGGGGAGGAAGGGCTCTATGCAGACCCATAGGCATTTTCTTAATTAGTGACAGAGAGGGACCATTGTAGAAGGTCCATCTCTGGGCTGCTGATCCTGGGTTCTATAAAAAAGCAAGGTGAACAAGCAAGCCATGAGGAGCAAGCCAGTAAGCAAGTTCCTTCCCTAATTTCCTTCGATGATAGACTATGATGTGGAAATGTTAGCCAATAAACCCTTTACTTCCCAACTTGTTTTTTGTTTTGTTTTGTTTGGGGGGGGGTCATGGTGTTTCATCTTAGCAATGGTAATCCTAACTAAGATGGTAGCTATTTTTTTTTTAAAGAACAAGAAGTTGGAATGGGTGGAGATGTGGGGGATAGAACTAAGTTAGGGGGAGGAATAGGAGTTGAATATATACTAGTTTATAGTTGTTTTTAGAGCAAAAAGTAAGTCAGCGTCATTCCTAACCCCTAATCCACCCCCACCCCCAGAAAGGCATTTGGAAGAAGACCACACAGGCAACAGAGACAGCATCCTAATTCTACAGAGTCATACCCTTTCCCACTGCCAACCACTATTCTCTAGGTGGTACTTGGGAAATAAACCCCCAGAGCCTGGGGCAACTCCACTCCTAAGTGAGAGCCCTCTCCCCCATCACATTCTGGGATGGCCTGGCCTGTAGCCACAGAAGATCATTTGTACCCATTCATATAGTCCTGGTCTCAAGGCAGTATGGCATTCTTGTAGAGAAAGGGTGTAGGAACTTGAAGCTAAAGGAACACCCCTAAGGGATTAACTAATGGTATCCCTTAAGGACAGATCCTTAAACATCTGATCTGAAGACAGACAGACAGTGAGAAACCCAGGGCAGCCATTCTTCTGAGGGCTGGCTTAGACTCATGGAACCAAGGCAGTTCCCCTGAAGAGAAACAGTGCCCATATTGCTAATGACGTCTTGCACATTCTCCTCAGGTTTTCCCAGGGATGCAGCTGGGAGGAGACAGTCAATCCAGTGTGGTTCCTTTAGCTACATGCCAGTTATGCCCAACTACTGAAGATCACAAGTTGCTGAATACAATATAAGCAGTCAGAGCAGATGTTGGGGCAAAGAAGGGATGCGTGTCACCTAGATAGCCTTGATACAAAAAAACTTGCCATGCTGTCTTTTTTTTTTAATTAAAGTTTATGTATATTCTATTATGTTCACGTATTCCTGTGTGTGGGTGTGTGCATCTGTAGGTGCCTGGGTGCATGTGTGCAAGGAAACTCATACTTTCCTCGTACCTTCCCTAGGAAGTGGAAAGCACTTACAGAGTAACCCAGCAGGACACATTAGACCAACTCTGCTGGGCAATACTTTGGAATACTCAGATGAGAGATGTGAAATCTCTTTCTCTAGGAAACAGAACTTCCTGGATGAGGGAGTCTGCTTGGGAATTGAAATCAGAGGAGTGGGGAGGCCAGTGAAAGAGAGAGTGCATAAAGTGCCACTGAGGCTTATGAAGAGACGTCAAGAGATGCCCTTAGAGAAAATATATCCATTTCTATAATGCAGACCAAGAGAGGCGATGAGCAACTAGCAAACTGACAGGAGACAGGAGTTCAAAGAACTGATTACCCACATGTGCATGAACACAGAGCTATAATCACAGATACTTTACATGCACGTGGGGTTACTAGCAACAAACTACCCACAGGCTGGTGAGGAGGATGTGATAATGACAATTATGGGGAGCAGAGATGCCAAGCCTGATGAGCCTTATACGTGTTCAGATGATGACAATTTTCTTCCAGCCACAGGACTCTGCATCCTTTGCAACTCACAGTGCAGTATTCATGCCAATTTTAAAATTTTGCTATTAAATTTCAGTGGTTCAAAATGTGAACTCTTCTCCATAAAAAAATTTGGTTGACCATATAAAATGTAACTGCACACACAAGACTATAACATTGTAAGCTTAGATTTGTTTCAGTATTATCTACTTATTGCAAAAAGAGCCATCTTTTCTTTTTTCATTAAATAATCAATTATCACATTAGTACAATACAATTTTACACTTTTAAATATACTATATATGTTAAGGATAAGGGGTAACATTTTCTTCCTTTGCAACACCTGTTTCAAGAGTTTAATGAATTAGGACATTAGTTTTAACCTTGGGGGGGGGGTGGATACAAAATTTGTCTCATTAGGATATTTCTACCAAGTATTTCTTAAGGCTATAGTTTAACATTTGGTTTTAAAAAGAAAAAAAAAATCATTTAAAAAATAATTTAGTGAATTACATTCTTCCATAACTTCCACCCTAATTAGTTACAAAGATAAGTCTAAAGAATCTTAGTTTTCTTGTACTAATTTACATTTAAAGATTAATTTTACTTGTATCTTAAAACAAGAATTTTATGTTGGAAAAACAAACAAACGAGAAAGAACTAAATACATTTGTATAAAGGCAGTCAATGCCCCATGGCCAACCCTCTGTCTCATTGTTTTCTACCACAACAGGAAACAGGTCTGCAGAGAGAGAGAGGTTTAGCCTGGTATGATTCACCTTCCCCAAGGAATTGTGGGTTGCAGATCTGAGGAATACACAAAAACTGCATCACAACTTCACAGCTACAATGATAGCATGAACACATGAAAAAATAATAATAATAAGTTCACTCAAACAGGATTTAGAAAAGTCAGGGCGTGACCCCAGGCATCACCTGGCCCAGGGCATCACTGTGGTGAGGTTTACAGTCAGTCGTTCGATAATGGAGCGAGTGTGTGTGTGCACATATGTGTGTGTATATACAGATATCTATATATATAAATAACCGGGTTCAGTCCTTTACAAGCCTGTAGATATGATGCTGTGCTCCATGTTCACTATTTGAAACTTCAAATACACAGGCCATGCAGAGGAGAGTTTCTTGTGTATCCCTGTTTGTTACCACCTGTTTAAAAAAAAAAAAAAAAAAGCATATGTATCATCACCCCACATAAAGGAGAGCATGAGCCTGATTTGACAGAAGAGTAGCCATCTTAAGGTGATGGATGGGTGGATCAGAGACCTGTTTAGCCTTGCTCTGTATCCTCCAACACATTCAGGAGATTATGAGTCCCATTGGAAGCCCACCTGAGCCCAGTACCAGGAAGACCCTACATGTTGTAATTTGAAAGAAATGGCTCGCACCATGCAACAGAGTTCAAGCAGAGGGGTTTTTAATTAAGGAAAAACTATTGTAAAAGGGGGAAAGAGGAAGGGGAAGAAAGACCAGCCTCCACGGACAGGAGCAGTGGGAAGGGGGGGGGGGGCAGACAGACGGGAGGGAGGGAGAGACAGGTGAGCAGGGTCTTTTTAAAAGGGAACATATTGAGTAGGCACAGGTGATGCTCTTAGTGGCAGCAGCTGAGAGAGTATCTTGTCAGAACTCCAAAGACAGGCTAGTAAAATGCCTAAATACTAACACCAAAGATGGTCAGGTCACCTGTAAGAACTGGTATGGTTTCTGTGTTTATCATTAAGAATCCTCTCTCACAGGACATTCACATGTTTCAGTGTTTTTATCTTTATCTGAATTGGCTAATAACTGTATGTATTATAGAGTGATGGTATGATACATCGTGGGATGGCTAAGTCAAGATAATTACTACAGTCACCGTATTTATTTATTCTGTTAAAAACATTTAAAATCTTATTTTCCCATCTTACATTTAACTTGAGCTAAATTCTACTTCACAACAGTCAACTGCAGAGTTAACTTGATGGGCACCTTGATTAGTCTATCACATGAACCAGCAGTACCTGGATGTAGCAGAAGCATCTGCTCTGTGAAGGACAGAAGGAAGGAATCCTGTCTGAAGATGCTTCTTTCTGCTTACCTCTCACAATGTGTTAAGAACTACCTATTCATTCCTCCCCAGGCCACTCTCCCATACACCCACAATCTTGGCCTCTTTCAGATCTGAGTTCTGGCTCTCTTTCTCACACTGGCCCCAGGCCCCTGTGCCACCTCAGAAGGAGCATTCTGAAGGCCAATCCCATCAAATTTACAACCTCATAATGCTTCAATGGTTTTCTGTGGCTTTCATGTGCAAAAACATTTTGAACTTCAGTGCCTTATCTAGCTTGTCAAGGGCCTAATTTCCCCTCTGCAATGGTCTGCTTCACCCATTTAAGTTTCCCTCACTTTCAAGCACCCAAGCTCAGGGTCTCCGACTGAAAAAAGAAAGCCTCACTTCTGATTTTCTCCATGGACCTGTGGTTCATATAGACTGGTGTTTTCCAATATCCAGCTTACCCAGTGGACTATGAAGAACTGGACCACGTTTTCTACTTAACCAGCTCAGGCCTGATATGCCATGATCAAGGGTTTGATGAGTGATCAGAACTCAAAGCGGCCACCAATGCTGTGTGCTCACTATGCATCTACCAAAGTATGAGATGCTCTGTGACTGGGTGCTACTGTTCCCCATGACAGAGAGGCTGAGGCACTGTGTGCTCTAGACTAACTAGTTAAGGCTGTTAACCTTCCTGTGGGTCTTCCCCACCTATGAGCTACATTATACCATTTAGGCACAATGCCCCTCTCTGCCAGACACTGGTGATTCTTTTATATTACATCCATTTACTGGGTGAATGCCCACTTCCCTCACCTGACCTTGGGATGGTTGCCCTGCTCATTTAGTTCATCACAATATTCCTAGCACCAGACACTTAAATGTGCACTAAGTAAAGTCTTACTTGCTCGGTAAATGTGAAAAAAGTCTACTCTTTCAACTTAAATGTCCTCTTTACATCCCCGAGAACACCGCCCCTGCATCTCTCTGGACTTTGGTGGGGCTTAGTTCAGAAATTTATATGACTTTGTATCACAATCTACTCACTTGCTTCTTTGACTCAACAGGCCATAAGTCATGGTACAAGCACTATGTTGTTAAATTGCTTCCTAGCGGCCAATGCTATATCCATGGTGTGAGCTGAGGAAAATCTTACTGGTCACTTTGAGGCAAAGAATATAGATCTGAGTGATCTATTCATGACTGGAAACAGCTATGTAGGTCTGAAGAGTTGAAATGGCTTGGCTAGGCACATAAAGCAGAGAGGACCTTCTGCTCAAGCTTTCTTATGACTTAAATTAGTCCTTGAATTAGACCTTGAATGGGTCATAGTGATTCCTTAACCACAAAAATGATACTGTAGTTTATGGTAAGAATTTTACAACAGCATTTACAAAGGATCTCTGTACCTAGCATAATGCTAGAAATGACTGAGACACTTCCATCTTCTGTTTGTCTACATATACTGAAGATTGAGAACTCAGGACCTTGTGCATGGTAGGCAAGTTCTCTATCACTGAGCATTCCCAGATCTTTTCTCGTTTTCTTCTAAAATATCTAAAATATTTTATTTGATTTTCATCTTATATGGGTGAGTGTTTGCCTGCATGCAAATATGTGTAACATGTCCTCGGTGCCCTCAGGGGTCAGAAGGAGGACATCAAAGCCCCTGGAGCTGGAGTTATAGGTGGCTGTGAGACACCATGTAGGAAACTGAACCTGGGTCCTCTGGAAGAACAACCAGTGTGCTCTTTGAGCCATCTTTCCAGCTCCATGATATTATTTCTAACAAATGTTTCTTGGCAATTATTAATTGCTTATATCAAAATATTTTATTTACCTGCTTAATGACACTGTTGTTTTGAGAGGGTTTTCTATAGCCTAGGGTGGCCTCGAACTCCTGATCCTCCTACCTTCACCTGCTAAGTGCAGGGATTACACACAGGTGCCATTATGACTGGCTTTAATGACATATTTTTAACCAAACCCAATGAGGTCTCAGGATAGCTTTGCTGGTGGAAGTCATATGTCCAGAGGCATGCTGCTGATAGATACCTGGGCTCTGTGAGAATTAGGGACTTGGCTTTGACATCTCAGGGCCACATTCAATTCAGCCAGGCTCTCTGAGGCACAATTGGGACTGGGGCTATCACCATCCTCACTGTGCAGTCATAGACAGAGAGAGTTGAAATCCCTGCTAAGAAAGGTGGGTGGCCACCCACTTAAGAGTTCAAGTCTAGGAAAGAACACCACCCTCCCTGCCTGATCCCAAGTGCTGAGACCTGCATTTACTTGGTTTTTGTGTGTATTTAGGTCAGGGTTTGAACTTGCATATCCTCCTTGATCACTCTGCCAGTTCATCTCTCTCTTTTTTTTTTTCCTTTTTGAGATGTAATCTCTACCTAAACATGGAGCTCATTGATTAGGTCAGGCTGGCCGATGGCCTCCAGGGACTGAGCAGTCCCTGCCTCCCCAGTGCTGGGGATCACAGGCAGTGCCATGAGGCCTGGCTTCTTATGGTGTAGAGAAACAGTCCTCACACTTGTGTGGCATGCACTTACTGACTGAGCCATCTCCCCAGTTCCCACACACGTACGTGGACTACAGCAGGGCAGTTTGAGACACACACCTATTCCCTGCCACCACACCCCCTGCAAACAAAGGACACTGGTGACGGCTAGAGACAGGTGATTTCTAAGCTTCAGGAGCACATGGGCACAGCCGAGACTCCACAAAGAGTCTCCCTCTAGAGTAAGCCAAGCTTATAGGAAAGACCCCAACAATGCATATAGGCCCTATGTCTAAGCTCTGAGTTCCTAACAACACTGACTCCTAATTCTGTCGAGAGCATGACTAGTTAGGTTGCTAGGTTTTTACCTGGCTTGTTTGAAGAGAGGGTCCAGCTTGCCTTTGACCTCCTGATCCCCCTGCCTCAGCTGCCCAAGTATGGGGATTATAGGCAGCATGTGCTGCCACATAAAGTTTAAATGAGAGTTTGGTGTTAAACGAGAAGGAGCAGGTAGAAAAGAGCTCTAGAACCAAACAAAACATTGTATATCTAACTGAGAATCACATCCCAGTGGACCCAACATGCCAGGTAAGGCATTCTGAGGTCAACACTCAGGCTCACCATTCTAGTAACAGACTAACGTGGCAGCCATTCAGAATACTGTCTGACCATAGATGGCCTTTTCTGCCCTGCAGGAAAACTGTTCTCAGTGAGTTTTATTTTGGTATTCTGACCTTCCAGTTTAATCAAGATTTTTGTTTTCCTTTTTAAAAGGCCTTATAAAATCTATTACAGAATATTTTATGAACATGTTTTGAGGACAAGAGCCTCTGATTCTGGTAACTTGGCGGTCATGGTGTAGAAGAGCCTAGACCACCATTTCCTATTATTTCTATTCTGAAGACAGATGGACCTGTCTTCTAACCCAAGCCCCCTGTATGGCCCAAGTTTGTTGGTTAGGTCATGTAATTCAACTGCTGCCTGACCACCAAATAGCCAAGTTCCCTTTCTGAAAACCCTACTCCCTCCCTACGCAGCTTCCTCACTGTCCTAACAAGCCAAACCAGAAGAGAGAATAAACATTACCAATAAAATGGTGAAGTTTTCCAAAACACTGTTCATCATGTATTTCTCTGGTAGGTGTTTGAGCTTGTGGATGAAGTTGATCATATATTCACACATTGGTGAGCGGTTTATTCGGTATACAAATCGTCCATTCTCGAACCTTGCATACTCCGTCTGGGAGGGGAAAGAAGTTTGAGTATGTTTTTATACTTCAAAATACAGAGAACATCTGCTTCTGAAAGCATGCACTTTTCAACACGAATCATTAGTTAATATGTTCTGTTACTTGTGTAGATTACTTAATTCTGCTATACACAGAATCTACTACCTTTCTGAAAGTTTAAAAAATGCTTCAAATGGCGACCTTTAAAGGACTTCATAGATCCTTTTAGCCAAAGTGAGTGTGAGTGTGAGTATGAGTGTGTGTGTGTGTGTGTAGGGGGCAACTTCACACAACTCTAGGTAAAAGGCAAAGTAACAGAAACTTGAGAGGACATGATTCTGGCCCCTCAAAATACAACTGCTAGTACTGAACCAACTGTGGTCAAGGAGACCACAGAAGCGACCAATAGGCCCAAATACACGGAGAACGCAAGATCCTAAGGGAGGAACCACTGGGGTTGAACAGGACAATCTGCTGTGACAGATAATCTGAAGATAGATACTTCTCATTTCCTTTCCAAGACAGGGTTTCTCTATGCAGCCCTGGCTGTCCTGGAACTTGCTTCCTAGACCAGGCTGGCCTCAAACTCACAGAAATTCACCTGCCTCTGCCACCTGAGTACTGGGATTAAAGGTGGTGCCACCACCACCTGCTGACAGATCCTCTTTTGAGACAAGTCTATGTACCCAAGGCTGACCTGGAACTATACATGTAGATCAGGCTGGCCTTGAACCTGCTAGGATCAAATCAGGCTTTAAAACCCAAAGTCTGACTGTTCTAGAAACCAGAATCTAGAAACATGAAACTGACACAAATCATAAAACCAACAAGGAACAAACAATATAATAAAAATCATAAAAACCTATTATAAAACCTACAATGAGACAGAAATGCAAATAGATTTAATATTAATAATATATCATTTCCAATTTTATTGGAAATGCACAAATTTTCTGTCTTTCTTTATACTAAATAGACTACACATTATTTGCAAATAGGAAGACTGGTTCTTGGCTTAGCAAAGAAGGGGGAAGGAATCTTAAGATGGACTTGTTACACCTGACCCCAAAACCTAGTTACAAAGTCACTGTGACTAAGCCCAGGATGGGATGGGGACACACAGAATAGGGACAGGACCACCATCTCCTCTGCCCAAAGCTTCGAGGATATTTCAGAATATTACAGAGACAGATTCAGCTGGAAAGAAGATTAATATTGAACAAGTATAACTATTTTCACATTTATTTTGAGTGTATGATCTGTGTAGTTTGCATGCATGTGGAGGTCAAAGGACAAGTCACAGGAGTTAGTTCTCGTCTTCTACTATGTGTGTGCCAGGAACTGAACTCAAGCCCTTAGTCTGGCGGCAGGCGTCTTACCTGCTAAGCCATCCTGTTGGCTGATACCCACGCCCCAGATCTAATCCTAATTTTGTGCCCCTACTACTGTGTCAGAGCAGCTAGCTCCTCTCCCATCCTTAATTATCCCCAAAGCTCAGGATTCCCAATTGCTATTTCCAGTCTCTGTAGTCTCATATCTCCTGTTATTCCCTACTTGTCCCTTGAAAATGTACTTTCTGGTCACTGCTGCTAGCAAACATGAAGAGGGTGACCTCTGGCTTTCCCTCCTCTTTAAGCTTTAATACACAGTTACTAAATTCCATTTAAAACCTCTTACTGGAGTCCCACTGAAGCCATTTCAAGAAAGCTCATGACCTCTATCAAATTCAGCATCAACTCAATCCACCCATATCTTTCCCTGCTTTTTTAATGTCCTTCTCACACAGCCAGAGCTGTGCTTGGGAGGCTTGGGACAGCCCACACCCTCAGGGCTCTGCCAGGCTCTTAAACCTTTCCCTCTCCTACCAGGCATCCTCCAGGTTGGTTGGAAATTGGAGTCTTGCTACAGGCAGGTTAGGTCCCAGCCCTGAAAGTCCATAATGCAGTAAATAAATCCTGACCCTTCAGGTGGTAGGGGTAAGGCAGAAGACACTGGAAATTAGATATGTTAAGGGAATGCCACCTGCAAACCTATTCACAAAAGTAACTAACCCTGATAGGACAAATGTGTTTGTAAAAGAAGGGGGGTATGATATATGCAAGTTGAATGTAGATATTTCCTAATGCCAGGATAAAATGTTTGCGTTTCTGTATACATTTTGAGTAAGGGATTCTGATGAATAACCCAGGCTGGCCTGGAACCTGGGAGTCTCACGCCTCAGCTTCCTGAGTACTGGGATTACAGGCATGGGTCAGCATTTCCCACTGAAATTTAGACTAAAAACAATTAAAATGAAAAAAGTAAGATAGCAAAAGCAACAATGTCAAACCCAAGGTGTCAGGTTTTAGATGCAAGGGAGGGGGGACCAAGCTGCTGCAGCCACCTTGGTCATCACCCACAATGCCTGCATGGAGGTGGGGAAGCAGCCTGACCCAGAGGCCCTTCCAGAACCTCCAGGGGGCCTTTAACACTGGCCAGCTGGGCAGGGCTTCCCTCACAGAGCACCCTGTTTGCTTCCAGGTGCTGCCCAATCCTTTTACCTTTATAATGTGATGGGAAAGGTGCAAGTAAAAGAAAGGCATCCTCAAAGAGCTCTGTCCTCTACCCCCGCCTACCGGACATTTAAAGGAAGGCAACAGGCTGCCCAGAGGAATTTCTCCTCTACAGAGGTCAACTTACCTCTACTTTTTCTACTACTTGTTTCCCAAAAGAGCACACTTTGGTGGAACAGGTAACCGTCATGTTTTCAGAGCTCTCGTACTGACTGCTCACACCGTAAAAAGCCCCTGCATCATCCTGGATACTGCAGTTTAAGTCCGCCTGTTGGAAGGAAGTGGGGGCAGGTTAATTCTCTCACCCTAGGATCATGGTGGCAAACAACAGAGTAAACCACCAAACAGCTATGCAGTAGGGGAAGAGAGACCTCTCCACAGACAGCACCTTGACAGGGAGTCACTTCCTTTCCAGACAGGACTGGAACTTGCTTACAGCCACCTCTTAAGTGCTTATAGGAATGTGTCACCATACCCAGTTCCCACGTGCCAGGGATTGAACCCAGTCAGGGCCCGTGCACGCTAGGCAAGCACTCCACCAACTGAGCCCTTATGAGGACATGCTACCAACATGTATTCAGTCTGACTTCCTTGCATTCTGTATTGGAACAACACTGTAAAATGTACAGAAAAGCAAGGCATGAACTGACTGTGTACTCTGCCAATCTTGTAAAAGACTTTAAAAAAAAAAAAAAAAACCGGCCCCTACAGATGACACCATATCCAGAGGAAAGGCTTCCTATTAATGACTACCCTACAAAGATGCTAAATCACAGCTACTCAAGTTACTTAAAATACGCACCATAATTTGTCAATATTAATACATGTTTTGAAAATGCTAACCAAGTTAGAATGACATTTATGGTCTGACATCAGCAAAGCTGATGATGACAGTGTCCAGTATTTACATCCCATCCATATAAGCTAAAGGAAAAGTTGCTTCTCATGGTGGCCACAAATCTAGAGTTTACAAGAATGGACTAGGTGCTCTCTTTGTTTATCCATCTATTTCAGCTCTATCTAAAATTTCAAACCCCAAACAGAAGGAGTGGCTGGGTCTGCTCCTTCATTCTCACCATCACTACCCAACTGTCCCTCATTACAAATCAGTTAAAGGAAACCAATGAGTGAGGCTGTACATGGGGCAATGCTTGCTCACGATGAGGCTGCAGCTGTAGCAGGCTCAGACAGCTGTTACACATAACTCCAGAAAAGAACTACAATGCATCTATGTGCCTTACTGAAGGCTAATAACACAGACTAGGAGTGCTAATTTAAAGCATGTATGTGCTGTATAAGTAAAATAAAACTCCAATTTATCATTTCCTTAATTATTTAGGAATTAGGCAAACAATTTGGAGGGGTATTTCACCAGTAGAATTACTGTAGAGCTGTGTGCACGTGATAACAATGAAAAGACTTTCTTAGACAGAGGTTCCTGTCATTGTCTGTCAATTCCCCACAGACAAGCAACCCTCCCAGCTTACGCCCACACGAAGTCATGTTCATTTCTGCCATGCCCTGGATCACTGCTGTGTCTTAGGACTATCCAGATACTGCTGACACGTTTTCATTTGGAGTAGATGATCTACCATTATAACTACCCCTAAAAATGAAGTTACTGGTCGGGTATGGTGGCACAGTCCTGTAATCCCAGCATTCTGGAGGCTGAGGCAGGAGGATTGCAGCCAGTTTGAGGCCAGCCAGAGCTACATGAGACTCAGTGTCAAAAAATAAAGTTATTCAAGGTCTGGCTCAGCCTTTAAAGGCTGAAAGCTCTGGCTGCTTTTCCCGAGGACCTGGGTTTGATTCTCAACACTCACATGGTGGTTTATAACTGTCTGTAATCTCAGTTCCAAGGTACCTGATGCCCTCTTCAAGCCTCTTTGTGTACTAGGTACTCCTGAGTATGCACACAGATTCCACAACCAGTGTGGATGCACCTAGATTCACTAAATAAGTAAATGAGTAATAAAGAAGGAAAGGAAACTTCAAGGTGCTGGGGCTGAAGTTCAGTTGGTAGAGTGCGCACCAAGCATACACCTCAAAAGCTGGGCACTCAGAAGGTAGATAGAAGAATCAGAAGAGCAAGGTCATCCTCAGTTACACAGTGCATTTGAGGCCAGCCTGAGATGTATGTGATGCTGTCTCCCCCCTCCCCCCCCACAAAAAAACTTCAAGAACAGTGTCACAAGGTGTGTTCACCCTGGTGTTTTGCTTGCTCTTCTGGCATTTTATTTTATTGTTTTTTTGGCTTTTTTGAGACATGGTTTCTCTGTAGCTTTGGAGCATGTCTTGTAATTCGAGATGTAGACCAGGTTGGCCTTGAACTCCCAGAGATCCTCCTGTCTCTGCCTCCTGAGTGCTGAGATTAAAGGTGTGCTCCACCACTACCTGGATCTTCTGGAGTTTTACTTGTTGGGGTTCAGCATGTGATTTCTCATGGTTCATTCACCCTTGTTACTTTAGCATAGACTGGTTCTGAACCTATGTTGTCCTTCCTTCCTTCCTTCCTTCCTTCCTTCCTTCCTTCCTTCCTTCCACATTCTGAAAGAATAAGTCAGGCTGTGGTGGCACATGCTTTTAATCCCAGTACTCAAGACGTAGAGGAAGGCAGACCTCTGTGAGTTTGAGGCCAACCTGGTCTACAGAGCGAGTTCCAGCAAAGCCAGAGCTACACAGAGAAGCCCTGTTTCAAAAAGAAAAGAAAAGAAAAGAAAAGAAAAAAGAAAGAAAACTAAAAACCAAAACTAAAGCAAAACAAAAATTTTGAGAGAACTTCAAATTTCGGAATTTAGATTTTTTGAAAGGTTTCCCCAGAGAATGGTGAATATGGCAAATAACCCATTTGGCAATATCACAACTGCTTTACAAAAGCTATCCCTGTGCATGAAAAATAATCACACAGTCATCAATTGTGTCACAGATGTTCTTTAGGGATATTCTAGGAGAAGGCACCAATGTGAAATGGAAAATTACCTGTCAGCTGATGGCATGAGAACTATTCTTGAAAGAAACTTAGTCAATGAACTCCCCAAGAGCAAGGAAAACATAACATTAAAGCAACAAAGCAGACAGTTGTATTGAGTCTGGGGTTCACAGAAACCCCCTACCCACCCTGTTGACTTCCCCACAATCAAAGACTCAGTTGTTAAAATGTCTAACTCAGACTGGAAAGATAGATCAGAGATTAAGAGCACTGACTGCTCTTTCAGGGGTCCTGAGTTCAAGTCCCAGCACTCACATGGTGGCTCACAACCATCTGTAACTGTAGTCTCATGGGATCAGACGGCCTCTTCTGGTGTGCAGATGTGCAGGCAGAAATACTTCCATATACATAAAATAAACAAATCTTAGAAAGACAAACACCTAACTCATAGAATTCTGAAAAACAAACAAACAAACAAAAAACAACAACAACAAAAACAAAAAACAAAAAACAAAAACAAAAAAGCAAACAAACTATGCTGCTCTTGGGAGATCAAACCATTCCTGCCAGTTTTTAATCTAACCACAGGGTGTTTTCTGAGAGCAAGTAAACACAAAAATACAAGAAACAGTGGAAGAAGATCCTTTCTCTTGCTGCATACCAGATTTGAAACACATCCTGGACTCTGGACTAGTTGGAACAGGTTGACTGTGAAGTGCATTCTGAAAACGGTAGGGACAGACAGCCCAAGGAACCAGCCCTTCTGAGGGACCCACTCAGTAGCCCTAAGGATGGTGAATGAACTTCAGAGCTTTCTCCTCTACGCAGAAAGCCCTCCTAGGCTACCTCAGCCAGTGCTACCCAATGTCTAAATGTTTCTTCCACGAATTTCTTCAGTAGCATTGCAGGAGGCAGGCAATGGTCACACAGCTCCTTTTCTGTCCAATGTGCTTCCTACTGCTGCTGCAACAAACTGTCAGAGATTTGGAGGCTTAAAACATTAACCAATCTTGCACTTCAGGCGGCCAGAAATCCCACTAGATCTCACAAGGCTAAAACCAAGTTATGGATTAGCAAGGCTGTCTCTCGTTGGAGACTTTGGGGGGGGGGGGGAGAGGGATCTGTTTCTTATCCTCCTCTTGTAGCATCTAGGGACACTCAAATTCTTCAACTGTTGCTCCCGCTTCCATTCCTTCTCATCTCTTTGGGTGTGTCTTCTGCATTGCTCTTCCCCCATGATTACACTGGCCTCAGTCAGAAATGTAAGCTATCCTCCCCCCTGAACCTTAGCTCCACTGATCTCCTCCCACCACAGATACAGACAACGCACTCCCTGCGGCATCACAACTCTGCCTAGCACAGGTGCTGACAAGTTGGCCGTAAAGGTCCATTAAGAGAAAAGCATCTCTCTCAGAGATGGAATCTCTGACCTGGGTGGAGCCCTAACAGTCCAGTCAGATGGGCAGGGTCAAGTACCTGGCTAAGGGATCGGGATCGAGTGCCCTTCAAGAAGATGGCTCTACTCCCTGTAAGGTAGGTTCATCTCAAGCCATTCTCAAGGACTAATAATAAGGCTTTAATGAGATAATATACTTCTCTCCCAGAATTTCTGCCCCAGGGTTGCAGTATACCAGGGCCACAGGAACCTGATTTCTTTCCTGAATTACTCAGAAAAGCTTCCTCTTCCCTTTTCTTCTGTCTCCCTCTGTTCTAAGCATGCTTCCTCTAAAGCTCCCCTCCCAGCCATGCGGCTGGCTGAACTCTCTCCTTCCTCCTTCTCAAAGCAGTGCTGAGATTTGCAGTTTGTCTGCCTCGGGGATTTTAAAACTCTATAAACAACTGCCCTCTCACTCCATTTAGTCTGTTCTTAAATTCTCTTGTTAATGAGACTTTTAGTCTCCACTAGGGGACCCTGATTTCCTTGGCATCATCACTGCTTCTGGTAAGGCCCACCCAGACCTCCATGGTTAGAAGACAATTCTCTCCAGTTCTCTTGGGCTCTCCTGTTATCTCCAGTCTCTCCAGTGGGCTCCATCCTAGGACTTAAATTATAGGCTATTTTCAATAGCCCAGCCCTCCCATGTTAGATTCCTGTCTAATCCAGATATTCTGGGTGCTGCTTCACCCGTCATTGCATCATCGCTGTCATCTGAACAATGGCATGGGCAGAGGGCCTCACATTTCTCATCTCTAACTAGAGAAGATGACATGACCAACAGCAGCTGTGGTGCAGTGGGGAATGGGTGCACACTGATGCACCTGTAAGCTGCAAAGTGCTGTACTAATGATAGTAAGTAAGCAGCACCAGCCATCACTCCTGTTAACTCCATAACTGCAAT